ATGTAAAACCTATTTTCAAGCGAAAAAGAAATGTGCCATTTGGTGTTTTGGTACAGATTAACAAAGAATTGGAACGGCTTGAAAATTTAAGAGTTATTTCACGCATTGAATTTTCAGAGTGGGCCTGCCCTGTTGTATATGTTAAGAAAAAGAATAATAAAATTCGGATGCGTGCCGATTTCTCTACGGGTCTAAATGATTGCTTAAAAGACCACACATATCCTTTGCCTTCACCAGAAGACATTTTTGCAAGTTTAAATGGAGGAAAAATATTCTCTAAATTGGATTTATCGGATGCCTATCTCCAAGTGAAAGTGGACGAAGAATGTTCTAAATTGTTGACTATCAATACACACAAGGGTTTATACAAATTAAACCGTCTGCCTTTTGGTTTAAAAGTATCCCCCTAGTATTTTTCAGCAAATTATGGACACTGTGCTGGCATGGTTGGACTTCGCCATTGCATATCTTGATGATATTTTGATAAAAAGTAAAGATCGAAATGAACATTTGGAACATATTAATCAGGTTTTTGAAAAAAATTGAAGAATATGGATTCAAACTTGGAGCTGAAAAATGTGAATTTTTTTATGAGTGAAATTAAGTTTTTAGGGCAGATAATAGACTCTGATGGAAGAAGACCAGATCCGGCGAGGGCAGAAGCGATCAAAAGCATGCCAACTCCCAAAAATGTAGTAACGCTACAAGTGTTCTTAGGACTTGCTAACTATTATGAGATATACATTCCTAATTTGTGCAGCCTTACGGCTCCATTAAATAAATTGCTTAAAAAGGGAGCAAAGTGGGAATGGTCAGAAGTGTGTCAGAAGGTGTTTGACAAAATAAAGAATATTTTGACGTCGGAATTATCACTAACACATTATGACCCTAAACAGGAAATTATAGTGGCATCGGATGCAAGCGAGTACGGAATAGGTGCGGTAATTCTGCATAAATTCAGAGACGACAATACGAAGCCAGTGGCACATGCATCAAGAAGAAAAGAAGTACTCTCAAATTGAGAAAGAAAGCTTAGCTATCATCTATGCTTGTAAAAAATTCCATAAGTACATACATGGAAGAAGGTTTATATTGCAGACCGACCATCATCCGCTGCTTTCAATCTATGGTTCGAAGAAGGGTATACCTACTCATACGGCAAATCGTTTGCAACAATGGGGAACCATTTTGTTGAATTACAATTTCAAAATGGAATTTTTATCATCTAAAAAATTAAGCCATGCTGATGGTTTATCTAGACTGATCCCAACGTCTTCGGAACCGCTAGAAGATATGGTGATAGCGTCGTTACAAGCAGAAAATGAATTGGTTGAAGTAATGTATAACACAGTAAATTACCGGTGACATTAGATGAAATAAAATTAAAAGCAGAAAACGACATTTTTATTAGAAAAATGAAAGAAGTTGTAACTTCAGAAAAGTATAAAACTTCTTCACCAGCATATTCAATATGTGATGAAGTGCTGTTATATGCTGGAAGGGTCATGATACCGGTTGTACTACAAAAGCGGATTTTGAAGGAATTTCATCAGGGGCATCCTGGTATTGGACGTATGAAAGCCCTGATGAGGAGTTACATTTATTGGCCAAATATGGACAAAGACATTGAACAGGTAGTTAAAACTTGTAGAGGGTGTCAAATGGCAGCAAAAGCACCGCCAGTAAAATACACACCATGGCCAAAAACAGATGTTCCATGGACCAGACTCCACATAGATTATGCTGGATCCATGAATGGTATTTCTACTTGATAGTTGTGGATAGCTATTCCAAGTGGCCTGAAATTTTTAAGTGCAAAAGACCAACTGCTTCTGTAACAAAAGATTTTCTTACAGAACTGTTTGCACGTTTTGGAGTACCAGAAAAAATTGTCACCGACAATGGAACTCAATTCACAGGAAGTGAATTTAAGACGTTTTGTAAGATTCTGGGAATTGACCACATCACGACTTCACCGTACCATCCTAGGTCAAATGGACAGGCTGAACGGTTTGTTGATACGTTCAAGAGAGCCCTTAAAAAAACAAATGGTACTAATACAGATGATGGTAATATACATATATATATATATATATATATAGAATAACACCAAATCCAAACGCAATATCAGGGATGTCTCCAGCTGAACTGATGTTTGCTAGAAAAATTAGATCTGTATTCAATAGGCTGCTGCCGGAAAGAAAAAAGAGTTACCAGAACAAAACGCATCAGGAAAATATGAAATATCTCAGGCCGGGAGATAAAGTTTTTTTTAAAAATTACAAGAATGGGAAGGAATTTTGGCTAGATGGAGTGGTAACTCAAAGAATTGATAAGATGTTATACATAAGAAGTAAAAAATGGACCCAGAAAAGACATTTGAACCAATTAAGGAAAAAAATCATTGAAGAAATAAGTAAAGAAAATGAAGAACCAATGGAGGTATTATATGATTTATTCGATATACCAACTCCACCATTGCCTGAAACAGTTGTCCAAAGAAAAACAAGCAAAAGAAAAAAAACTAGGGTGGAACGTTTAAGTCCAAATCCCAAAAGAAAAAGATATTAATTCCTCCGGAATTAATCTCAAGGGGGAGGTGTTGTGTCGGAAACCTACCACCCCTCTTGAAGATGAACTTGTCTGCGTCTGTGAACAAAGACTTTAAATAGTGGCATGTCAGTTGACATGGGAAAGACAGATAGACAGAGAAGTTCTTAGCTGAGCTAGTTATTGACTACTCAGGCGATTTCTGTACCTTTTTACCAACCTATTAAAACCCTTTTTATTGTTACGTGTTATTTGGCATTTGTCTCTACTAAACCCAAATCAACATCATAACAGGTTACATGCAATCATCTTATTCTTTTAATGAAAATAAGTATTCTTATTTACTTCCAAAATTTTAAAATTAGCATTACTGATAAATGGCAATATGTTAAGTTTCTAAATCACAATGATAAATATTAAAAGTTTATCTAAAGTTTATGTATCACAATAATTCTAAGATGCTAAACAAATAAAAATAAATATTTGTTTTTAAAACTATACTATATTGTGGTGAACTTACATTTCAATAAATTTACATGACTGAAAAATTCAATGTATTAGATTATCACTTTGATTTCAGCTATATTTCTACTTTATATGATGTGACATTGAGGGTTATTACACACTTCCAGCTATATCTTTGGATGTGTCCCTCCTCTCAGGTAGGCCCATGAAGGTCATTGTTAATGGCTAATCTTCTGGAGCCCATGATATCAATGTAGGCATCCCCAAAGCTCTCTCCTTGGTCCTACCTTTTTTCTGCTTTTATTAACAGTCTGTTTCGAAACATTTTCAGATCATTAGTAAAAATCTGTGCAGATGATGCCAGTTTATTGAGGCGATTCTACAAATCTAGGTGACCAGAGCCTGGCAGTTGATCTTTCCTCTGATCTAGCTCTAACAGTCCAATGGGGGAAAGTCTGGTTTGTAACTTTCAATACCTCCAAAACCAAGCTAGTAATGTTTCACCAACACCAAGCAAACCATAAATTTACTCCTGTCAGATTGAACAGTTGCATTCTCAATGAGACACCATGCTTTGAACATCTCAGACTTCAAGTGGAACTCATATATACAATCTACTACTAAAGATGCTGGAAAAATTGTCAGCTTCTTGTATCACTGCCATGCTTTACCTTTACAAGAGTCAGATTAGACCAAAAACAGAGCACTGCTACCATATCTGAGCTGGAGTTGCCCAATCAATCCTCACTTTCCAGCCTTGTTCAAAAAGGTTTGCGTGGCCAGGTGGAGGATGACATTTTCCACCCTACTTCTCCTTTCCCACAGATGCAATGTTGAAAGTCTATTACTACTCAATCAGTCCTTCCATGGTAAATGTTCTGATGAGCTCCATTCTTTAGTGCCACCAGCTCACTTCTTTACTGCCATGCTATGCCCACAGTATTGAATTACCCTCATTCCCATCATATTTCTTTGGTAAGAAGGGTTATCTACTCCAAAAGATTCTTCCCAAGAACTGCTCACATAAATGCTTCCCCAAACACTACAATGTTAAATTCTTCTAGTCTAGGGTTAATTGTTATCTATCCACCATATCCTGATAATCTTCATCTCATACTTCCCCCTCTTATGTTCATATCACATACCTCATTCAGTAATCCTCTACCTTGAGTGGTACTTGGTCCTTGTATTGAACTTAAGTATAAAAAAAAAGATGAAGATTTGGTCTAAGAGTCTAGTTTAGCATTATACTTTTATTGTAAATTGAACCCACTCCCTCCCTCACTAAAAACTTAATGATTTTAAAATTTTCAAAAATCTACATGCTAAAAATATAATCAGAGATCCCAGTAGCAATCACAGGAAATTTGGCAGATACATCTCAAATTCTAGAGTTATGTAATAACAGAGAGACAAAAGTTTAATTTGGTGAATTGTAAGATCACAAAATAAACTCATCACAGAATAATTATGCTTATTAATTCCATATTATTAAGCATGACATAATCATTAGAAACAATAATATGAATTAACTAAAGTCAAAGAAATAAATCCCTTCTTTTTTTTTTTAAGAAAAAAACTTCCCTAATATAGTGAAAATAAAACAAATTAATGAAAAGTAAATTTTTTTAATATTTTAAAAGACTAAATATAGAGTGAACCATAACAAATTTGTCAATTTTTTTCAAATCTGATGAAAATATACAACTGGTGATTTTAAAAATACATGAAATAAGCAGCCACAGAGATAATATCTCAGAACAACTCGGCATTTGAAAAGATTCTAGAATCTTAAACATTCTATGTGCTTATACAAAATAATAACAAAAATCTTTACGGTGAGTGCTAAGCAACCTATTGTTACATCTTTAGTAGCAAGTTACATATTCAGATATGACAAATGATTTGATATTGAATCTCTTGTCCAACTCTCAAACTACTTGCAGGCAGAAAGAGAACAAATATGATGGAGTTGCATGTTTGATTTATAAAAGAATATTTTCTTGATCCTGATCTGAAGAGCAGAAACTGAACAATAAAGAGTGGATGAAATGAAACAGAAAGAGATGGCAATTACCTTCAGCAGAAACTAGGCATATAGAAAAGAAGGCAAATAGTGGAAGAAGAAAGCTTGTAGAAGAGATGAATAAACTATGTGTCAAAATAAAGAGGTAAAGAAAGAACTGCTTTATGCTGAACCAAATATTCAGAATGGCATAGGTCTGGAAAAAAAGTAATAGAAATATCATGAAAAAAGTAGGTATAATAACATAATTTATGACATTTAAGTATTCATTCATAAAGGAACAAAAACATTGCAGAAATATAGTATTCATATATAATAATGATATAATCCTTGGAAAAACCTGAATGAATTTAAAGAAATAATCTTTAAATAGGATACAATTGCTATCTGATCAGTATATTTAATAAAATTCTCATTTTTACTATCCTCTACTCAACTACCGCATTAGGTTATTTTTCAAGTTTTACTTTATTCAAAAAACCTCCTTGAGAAAAATAATTTCTGAATGATATACTTACACAGACAACTTAAAATAATGAAAATATTTTCAAATCAGACAAAACCTTTCATTTTTTTTTTTACAACTGTTAAGGAATTAAAAAAAAAAATTGTTAAATTTATTTTTTTCATACAAAAAGAGTCCCTAATTTCATACCCCATTTGAGATATTTAAACAAATAGTGAAAAGGTTGCAATTTAATACAAGCTTGCAAATAGTCTTAAGCTATAACAGTTACTTTTACCTTATGAAAGTTTTTTGTTCATTAGATATCAGTGACTTATAAAAGACAAAAAAATCAAATTTTTTCAAGAACACCAAATTATATCATAACTGCTTTTTAGGATTTCAAGCCACTTTTAGACAGACAAGAGCATTTAGCCTCTTCTAGCAACCAATAAAACTTGCACACAAAATACTCTATATAGTAAACTAAATAGTATGATATATGATCATTAAGTAGAAGTTACCAAGCAATAAGATATAACTACTGTTTCATCATTTGATTTACATTCATTTTTGTATTAGTAGTTATCGTCATCATATTTATAAGATATTTTTTTCATGATACATATAAATTTAAAACTCACTCACTTAGGAAACACCTTTGATCAAAGTAATAATAAAGTTTTAATAACCAAGTTATTAAATATAAGATTCTGCAGACATGCCAATACATAGACAATCATAAGCTACTATAATCCTTTATCAGTGTTACTGATTCATCCATGATGGGAACATACAGACATTTATATGCAAAATCAAAACTATTAAATTTTGCCCTATAGGCAATGTTGTGAAGTATACGTTTGGTAAGTCTAGCACAAAATTTATGAGACTATATTTTTCAAGGTATTTAATTATGTGCAAAAAACATAACCAGGATGCAAATGTGACATGAAATACTATGTCAGAGTGAGAAACACAAACACACACAGTCAACACTTCCTGTAGAAAAAAAGAAGTGCAGTAGATCAGAGAAGACTTTAAGTTTGTGAATCTAAGGTTTAGCAGTTCTCCAGGCAAATTCTTAACTACAAAGGATTGTTTTAGCAGGATTTTTACATCCTTGTTAAAGCTCTGGCATATCATGAGCTTTTTAGCAGTGGTTAGATTAACACAATATGTCATGCTACAATAACATGTCTTTGTCAATGTGACAAGTGATGCATCATGTATTTGATGTACAAGTCATTTCTTACTTACATCTTTTTTCTTTAAGACGTTCTGGCAAGAACTGCTGTTTGTTTCACTAGATGCCAAACAAGATGGCTATAAGTAAACAAAAATTAGCTATAACAAAATAAAAAAAGATGAAAATTCTTTCTAACAAACAAAAAGAAAAAATAAGCAATTATAACCTTTATTCATTTTTTCTTAATGAATAAGGTTTAATACACATAAAAACAATAACATTCACAAAAATAGCAAAAGAAGAAATAGTATATACTAAAAAAGAAAAAAACAATTATTTCCATAAAATCATATATATTTTTCCAACATATTTCTAAAATTTTAGTTTTCTATAATGTATTGAATATTTAAAACATATCTCTTCAGTGTCATTATTCTATAGATAACAATTTAGGAAATATATATACATATATATATATATATATATATATATATATATATATATATATATGAGAGAGAGAAAGAGATAGGTAAAAAGAGTCAATTTCATTTTATTTAGCCAAAAAATAAAAGGAAAAGAAAAGTATGTTTTGGTAAATTCAAATTTTATTATCTATAACTGCAACAATTATTTATCCTTTATTTCTTAATTATATATTAAAAAAAAAAGATATAGAAACATCTGCAGCAGAATATAAAATATCACTTTTTAACCAATTTTCCTCTGTGACCAGTATGGTTCAAACTTGTATGACATACCTAGAGAAATTTGAAACTTGAGTAATTCATAAAATATAATGAGAATGTGCACAAGGGAAAATAAAAACAAGAGAAAAGTAAAAATGCATTCCTGACCAAATTCTGAAAAGAAACTACTGGAAAGAATTTAAAAAGGGATCCTAAGGAAAAGAGACTGGAGCATATTTTAGCTATTTATAACATTTTAATTACTTACAAATTGCATGATGCAAAACATAAAAGAAACTAACACATAGATTTGTAAATACTTTGAAAATGATCACCAGTAAAGAATTCAAATAAACAAATAGATTTTCAAATTTTACTGCCAAAAGAGTTAATATAAATTGATTTGGCAAGATAATTTTTAATCTTGTTAAAAAATACAAAAGCAGATGAATCCATCTATTCATTAATAAATCAAATTATGATCTTAAATAAACATGTACTTTCACTTGACAATTTGGTAAATTCAAAATATCATGCCTGTAATAAGGGCACAAAGAACAGCGAGACATCAAATTTTTGAAAAAAGATCATTGAAACATTCAGTAAATCAATTCCTTTGAACATATTTATACACAAAATGCTCAATTAAAATAAATAACTCAGTAGCACAAGCTATTTTAATTAACAATAAAAACTCTAAATAATACACAAGCTCCAATTCAAATAATTATTTTCTTTTTTAATCAATGTTTGATAAACTTCATTTGCAAAGTCGGTGGCATTAAATCAATGAAATATTGTTAAATGTGGTTTCACTCACCTGGTAAAGACTAAAATATACTACAAAATGAAACAAAAAACTCACTTTACCTTATACTTTGTCTCTTTCATTATGATAGTAACAGCAATTAAATGCTTCAAAATATGCTCACTATCCTTGGTTACAAGTGGAAATTGAGAAATTATATAAGTACCAAAATGTCAATTACTTTAAGTTTATCTACATATTCTAAATTTAGGTTGAGCATAGTTCATTGTCTCGCACTGTTAAACAGAAAGAGTATGAACAGATATGTAACTACTCAGCTCGAACAAGAAAACAAGTCTTTATTCAAAGAGGTAATGATTTCAAGGACAAACACAGTATACAGGGCTTCCAATTACACATTCTTTTCAAAGAAACACAAATATATTAATCTTTTAAAACAAACTGCTGTCATTATTACATTAAAATATACAATCTACTGCACCATCTCTAGAAAACATTTGGATATACTTTGACAATATGAACATTGTATTACAATAACTTTGATTTCTGACTTTAGGATAAGTTAGCCACATTAAAATAATAATCAATAAAGAAATCCTTATTATTCTTTACAAGTTTGTATTTTATTTAGATAATCAATCAAAATTTATAATCTCTAATTTCGTTAATATATAGCAATGAGATTGGTTCCAATTCAATTTAAACTACTAAAATGTTGACAATAATAAGTAGAATATATTTATTATTGAACTTTTTCAACTACAAAAATCATACATGAAATAGACAATCATTTGAATTTACATTACACCACTTTAATTCCTTGAGCAATAAATGACAAATTCTCACTGATGTATTCCTTTTCATACTGTGCAGATATCTTGACAGTTGGAAATAATAGTAGAACACGAGACCATAAAGATATCAAAACTAACAATTGCACTTACAAAGACATACTAATCAAATTGAAATTAGAAATTTTGATTCAGCAGAAGTTCTAACTAATTAAATATACTTAATTACACTGGACACAAAATATTTATGAGACATGAATAACTATTTCTATATAACTGTCATAATCAACACAAGAAATAAGAATCAACTTTTCAAAACTTCTTCGACCACTCTAAAATTTAATTTAGGGAGATAAAATTTCTTTGGTTTATAAGTATAGCATGAGTAACATAGTTTTATCATTATTGTAAACAAAGGAAACTATTTTTTCAAATACAGCCTAGAAATTTTTAATACAGGAAAGAGAGAATTGGATATTTTTTTTATTGCACACAGAGTTAATAAAAAAATGGATTTGTGTCAGATTTTGTTGCTTAATTTTGGTTTATAAGAAAAACTGAGTAATAAAATCATGAAGCAAGCAAAAACTGGAAAATAATTATAATACAAAAATATTAAATTTAAAGTATTTTGTTACAATTCTCTGTGTATTGCATTAAAATTTTTGAAAACAAATTTGAAACTCATTTTATCTAGTGATAGGGGATATAACTCTTACAGGAAATTTTTACCAACATAAAATTTATGGTTACTAATATTTAGTTTATCATCCTAACTTGCAAGAATCCTGCATTTATTATGGAATATTAAAAAACAAAAAGCCATTTTATTCTTGAGAATATAAGAATAAATAAAAATGGAACTAACCTCGCGTAACTTGGAGAGTTGTGAAATACTGTCAGGAGCCCAAATAGCATTGTTGGAAATATCATCAGGTTTGTTTGTATCTTTTACAGCTGTTTCAAGACTTGCCAAGTTTTTATTTGTAGTCACATCTCCAGCAGCCTATACAGTATGAATAATGAATCATTATTAATTCAGAAAAATACTTAAGAGCAAAATTATTCATTAGACAATAAATATAATCAAAATTTATTAACTTAACTGTAGGTACCTCCACCAAAAAAAAAAAAAAAAAAAAAAAACTGCTAAAAAATAGTTTACTGTGATGAAAAAAATGTTCCAAACTTAACAGTTTTATCATCAAAATCTTTAAAAAGAAATATCAAAGTATTTTTTGAATATTTAAATAAATTTTTTAATCCTTTTTAGAACATTCAAAATTTTGTGTCAGCAGATGTATCATAAATTAACATAGCAAATTTTAGCGTCTTTTAAAAATTTGTTACAAAAATCAAATACTTGTCGGATTTTCAAGAAATTTTCAGGACTTATTCAGAAATAAAATTATATTAGAAAGGTTTTTTTTTTTTAGAAAATCTTGGTGAAATATTTTTTTTTTTTTGTAAACATGTGTTTCACCCCACTTAATTTTTTGAAAACTCAAGAAACTCAGCATGATAATTTTTAGTGACTATATTAGTTAAAAGTAGAACTCTTTGGAGAATTTAAATCAATTTTTTTTTTGTAAAAATCGAGCCCCATCTTACCAAAAATCTGCTCTAAATTGTAAAATAAAAAATGCAATAAAACTAAGACATTATTTTATGAGAAGATTTTAATTGCTTTTATGAATATATATTAAGGACAATATTGTATTAAGAAAAAAAATTTTTTCAATGAAAAATGAACTTTTACAAGATTTACTTTCATTTTTTTACAATTTTAATTAGAATAATTTATATTTTTAAATTTTTTTAAATTCAATTTCAATGGTGTAACTCTTAGGAAATATTGATATTCAGTAAAACTATATTTACTAATCATATATCATAATGCTTATTACAATCTGATGCCCCAAATATTTTTAAAAGAATTTTGAATTGTTTTTGTATGTGTATAAACGTACTGAATTTTATTGATACAGTCACCAATACACAACACTATCAGAAAATAAGAGAGATAACTATAGTAAATTTAAAGCCAAAATTCTCTAAAATTCAATAAAACATTAGATAATGGAGAATATTTTCTTTCTTAAATGTTAAAACACTTATAGAGCAACCTTAGATAAAAATCTGTCATGAAGCTGTTAAAAAGCTGTCAACATAAATAAACAAACTACCATCATGTTAAAAAATGCATTTTTATAATATTTTGAACTTAAATAATAGTTGTTTCAAATCAGATTAATTATACTTTAAATCAGCTAATATTCATCAAATAAAGTTTCAGAAAAGTATATTTTATTTTTGGAAGATAAAAATCATCCAAAAATAAAATATACTTTTTAATAAAGAGATTTACATTTTTATAAAAGTTTGCTAAAAATAGTGCTAAATTAAAATTTTTTTAGAAATTTCAAAATGGAAACTCCTTCCAATCAATTTAAATTAGTTTTGAAATACAGCATAGTATTTTGTTTATTGGAAATATTAAATTTTATCTATCAGCTTGAAATTAAAAAATAAAATAAAAGCTTCAAGATTTCAGAATTGGTAATAGTCATACACAAAGAAGAGCAATTACAATAAATTATTTTAAAAGAAAACTTAGTCTTAGAAATATGATAATTAGCAAGAAATAAATTAAAAAAAATTTTAAAACATGTAAAATAAGCAGAGGTCAAAGGTGATTTTAGAAAAACAATATTGTAAGACCACAAATATCAAGGGAAATAACTTTACTTTTAGATTTGTCCAGAAAACTAAAATATTTAGAGGATCAGTATACAAAGATGTTTAAAATTTCAACAAAAATAAAATCTTGGATTTTCTGAAAATATGTTTTATTTAAACAATAATTATAGAAATGTAAAAATGTTTCATTAATCAGGTTATGAAATGTGAAGAAATGTTGACAAAATGACCGATTTGTTTTTTCTCTCAGAAATAAATTCTACCAGAATAATTCATGCTTTATCTCAGAAAAAAAAAAACAAATGAAAAATTTTTATTATCATTTTATAAAAAAGACAGCTTATAAATAACACGAATTGTAACAAGATGAAGTGTTGCTATAGTTTTACAAAATGAATATTCAAAACCAAATTACAAAACATACACATTTCACAATAACTAATATATTAAAGCACAATATTGGATTGGAGACTTAGCAACCCAACACAGACAGGCATGACTTTAAAATGATTATTTACTCAAAACCCACATGCTTCTGAATTTCAATTGAAAGAATTTTCCCTCAAGGTTAGTAAGAGCATCAACAGAATTTGATTTTGGAGCATTTTAGTAGAAAAATTATTGGGGAACTATTTCCCAATATAAAGTTTGCTTCATTTAAGAATGTACAAGTTATTATACTATTAAAAAAAGTATATTCAATGCATTACAATATGTTCACTTATACATACTATTGTCATTATGAATTCATCTAATCAATCTTAATGTGCATATAAGCCTTTTTACAAAAAAAAAAAAATTAATCTCCTGTAAAAATTTTTGTTATGACCATTTTTTAGGTTAATAAGAGATATTTTTAATTCTTTACTCATCAACCACATTTAAAATAAAACTAAATTACTTTTTTTTTTACTATACTAAAGATTTTAGAGATTTTATAGTTATTTATCATAAAAATTTTAGAGATTTTATAGTTATTTATCATAAAAATTTATACACACATAAAACCATAAAATTTAAAGGTATTTTTCAAAATTTAACATAAGTCTTAAAACCTAATAATTAATAATGTACTAGAAATACCAAATTATACAATGCTATCTTAATTCATAAAAATTAATTCTGGTTCTAAAAAAGGTAAATAGAAAACAATAAGAAATATTGAATTGTTCACCTTGGTTGAACTACTCATAGCTTCTTTTTGTTTTTGTAAGCTGAGCAATTTTTCCTTGTTCGCTGTAAGTTTTAACATTTTAGGATCTGACTTTTCTTCACTGATCAATGTTTCCTTAGCCACATCCAATGTGTGTGCACTCATCCTCCGGGTGCGTGAATGTCGAGGAGAAGATGGTTGAGGTGTACTAGAATTCTCCATTGTTACTGCTGTACTTGTTGACTTAGGTGAAGCTTCATTTGTACTAGAAGACTGAACCCCTTCAGTGCTAGAATTAAGTCTTTGGCTACTATCACGGATACAAGATTTCTTTGGTACATCAGATCCACTGTTAAAAAAATAAAAGTTAGTTTGAAAATCAACAACATTGTCACTAGTTGATAATATAAATGAAAACAGAAAAACAGCTTTAAATTCAATATCACAATACAAAAATATTTTTAAAGGATGTTAAAATCAACAATTGTTGTATTTGTAAATCATAAAAATTTCTTTCTTTAGGAGATTTAACAAATCAACAATTATGATAGTTTATATTTAAAAAATATTTCATAGAGAATTCTTTCACTGTAGCATATAATAAAAGACCTACCAGTCCAATGATAACAAAACTGATAGCTATCTTACTTTCAATATATAGGACTTACACTGTATATTTCTCAAGAGTGTGTAAAAGCAACATACAGTGACACATTAATATAATTCTGTTGTTTATTAATTCTACATGTCAAACAAAGCAGTGGATATTTTCTGACCTTATATCAACAAAGGACAGTATTATTTTCAGTTAAACATTCACAAATCTAAAATGTGGCATATGGCATGTCAACTGTGACTGCTGAATACAAAATAATTTTACTGACCACCAATTGTTTATGTGAAACATACCAAGGTTATTCAGAACTATATTTTATAGAGAAACAGAGTATATAAACATGAAAACTTTAAATATAGACTTAAAAATTTTCAGTTATTAAAGTAGCATGCTTTTAAAAGTTTTAGTACTATATCTCATTTTAATAAATATCTCTTGTAATTGCATATAAATGATTTCAACACAAAACAAACTTTTTTAATATTTTCAACCATCATAAAAATTTTTGAGATTTTTGTTTTGAGAAAAATATGGTACATTCATTATGCTTGTTATTTTTGATTTTATAATAATATTAATAATCTACTGAAATTTGCCATAATTTTTTATAATCTACAAGATGTTTAATATCTGTGAAAGAAAATATTTATGAGTAACTTTGCATTGTTTGATTGTTCTCAAACAAATTAAAAAACTTTACTTTTAACAGCTAACTTGTCAAAATCTACCTTTTATTTTAGGTGTCTAAAAAGCTGATTAACAACAAATAGGAAATGTTGATATGCTTATTCAGAATAAATCAAATTATAATAATTTACTATCAAATAGAATAAAGACTGGACAAACAATAAGCAAATGAACTTTTATTGCTGAAGTTTATATTATCCTTTAAAATAATTAATCCAACTCCATTCATGGAGATTCAAATTAATCACACTGCTTTTGTTAAGTATTCATTACCTAAATTGCTTAAATGTAATTTTAATTATTTTACATTTTGAAGCTGATAGAAAAAGTCCCTTCTTAAATATAAAACATATTTATTTCACAAAGTAGTGAATGTCAACAAAAAAGCACTTATGATTCAATGTAGTTATCAAATATAGATTATACAATTGCTTATGGAAGTGATTAAATCTATTAATCATGATAAAATTTATCTAATACAATGTAGAGATGCTTCCAATCATCATCAAATAACAACCCGAAAGTAAAATATTTGATGTTGGTTTGGTGTATTAGAAAAATAAAATTGTAACTCAAATATATTTTCTAAGTGACATCAAAACTAAAAAAAATGTTTTCAATGTATTAAGATTATTATCAATGGAGCCAGAATGACACAGAAAGCAATGAATCAATTTGAAAGCAGGTCAGTCAGTATTCACATGAGAACAATTATGGGAAAACAGAAACAAGTACTGACAGCAATAAACTGCATCATGAAAACATTTTCCATTCAACAAGGTTATGACAGAACCTAGTCAGAGCAGTTTTTAGATAAAATAGTGTATTTGGGATAGCAAGAAATAATATAACAATATGAGTCTAAGATTTTATACCACTGTCAATATCATCTTTACTTCTTTTCTTTGTTCATGCTTTAAACATCAAAGTGTTGTCATGTGTATTTAGGAAAAAATGGTGTTTCTAATGATTTAACAATTTTAATTTATAAAACCATTGGTCATTAAAGGTTGCTTAGAGGGAATAATTAATGTGTCCAAGTAAATGTTTATTTCAGAAGATGCTTTGGAGGTGAGGTCACAAATATGAATTATATCATAAAAGGAATTCCTGGATATTTACATGCAAACATAGGTAAAAGGTCAAGTAAACATCTGTTAAGTGAATGCTCAATAATAATTCAAAAAGTTTTTTGATAAAAATGATAAAATAAATGATTATTCATTCACTTAATGAAGTTATCATAACAAAATAATTAGGAACATATACAAAAAGTAAAAAAAAATGACAATAACTATCTTAAAAACTACCATGTCTTGCTTTTACTAACACCATTTCATAAGTTACAGAAATATGACAAAAGACTTCATTCTTTTTCCAGTTATCATTTTTACTCAATCTGTTATATTTGAGGAGCAATTAACAAATAGGCTAAGATTTAATACTGAATAAATTATTAACAATAGCACACAAATCAGTATCTGTCACCAAAGAATATATTTATACTGCTGTTATTTTTACATAGTAGTGAAAACAAAGCCAGATACAGATTTATTCCAAAAGTGTTATTTCTACAATTTTTTGAACTTATATAATTTAGATGCTGTTAAAAAAAACAAATTGGAATGAATATTACCAGCATACTTAAAATTATTTACATTTAAAATTTTACAAAAAAGACAACTAATAAATTTTTACAAATATTTCCAAAAATAATATCCTTTGCTTTTTCAATGTTTAAAAAGTATAAATTATTTCTTCTTTTTATTATTTTGTATTTGTGCTGTATATTTGCATCAAGTTTATGATGTGTTTTCTGTATATTTTAAGTGTAAAAATGTTGGTCATTAGAATTTATGTATTATCTATTTTATATATTATAAAATATTATGTATTTTATATATTACAGTAAATGATTTAAATAAGCTGCTGTTATTTTCATTAATTTGTAGATTAGAACCAACACACACTGACATCAACATTATTCGTTTTTCAACATATGAAAGAAACAAATTCAAGTGTAATCAAGAACAATGACAGAGCCATTTAAGATATGGCTCAATTCTAATGGGTTAATAAAAACTTTCAAGGAAAAGTACATACAAGGAGTTATACAATACACTGGTAAACCAATAATAAAAAAGGTTTTATTACTTTTCATCTATGCTGATATCAAAAACATATATTGACTCTGTACTGAATAATTATAAAACTAAAGACCTATATAAAAATTCAAAATCAAGGCATAAAACATTATTCAAATTATTTAACAGCCAGTATATAAAACTATAGAAATCCATATAAAATTTGTATAAAAATGTGACAAAAAAAAAAATATCAGTAAAATTTATATTTTTGATTCAAGAAAAATCTAATAGGAATTATGAAACTTTGATTTTGTTAATGCCTGTTTATATTTGTGCCGAAGGATACAAAAGTTACAAGATAATAGCATTCACCATTATTTAAGTGGCATGACTTCTTCAGTACCACCATAACCAAAAAAAAAAAAGTCATTTTTAAAATTACTTTTGGATTAGCATAATATTTAAGTTATTTACAAATGCAGTTATCATGCTTCTCTTTGCATTGGCTACTATTGTATTCCTTAAATATTAAAAGGCAAATTCGAATGTAATATATATATATATATATATATATATATAGAGAGAGAGAGAGAGAGAGATGAAAATAGAAAAAGAGATAGATTAAGAGATTTTTTACAAACATATGTAATAAAAATTTTTTTTTTTTTAGTTTATATAATTTTTTGTTATACCAGATGAGTGCATGTACATACACTATTTCAGGTTTTATTATGCAAATCAATGTTTTCACAATAAAATTGATATTAACCAACTGATGTTGGTAAAATATTTAAGTATATACTTATATGAGAAATACAAAATTTTACCTTCTAATATCTTTTTTTTAATATTTAGAATGACTTATTTGGGGGTATGAGATTATATTAGGAGCATTGTAAATTATTATATATATTATATATTAGTTATTGATATTTAATTTCAGATGCCAAAAGATAGCCGTAGGTTATAAGAAAAATATAATCTCAAAAAGAGAAACAAAAATTTTAAAACTATTGACTAATGAGAACAGAACATTGGAAATTGCAAAATGAAATTGAACAGAGGCTACAGAATAATCACAAAAATTTAAAACATTGCCTTTAAGAATATCAGAAAAAGAGATTTAAGAATAATTGAAAAATTAATCCCCAAGAAAATATTTGAAGTTGGTGTTGCGAATGTAAACAGAAAGAAATGATAAAAAGATTAAGAACATTGGATAAAAACAAGAAAGTAAGTACACTAAAAATCACAAAGAGGAACATTTTAAGTTAGGCAAAGATGTACATGAAAGCTGATGTACAGTTAATTTTAATGATATATTGGATGAACAGGAAATGAAAATTGTCAGCAAACATGACATAGACAACAATATGAGAGAGGTGGAATAATGTTTTGGGGTAGTATTGTAGGCAGTAAAATTATAGATTCCTTCAAAGTTGATGATAGTCCAAGATAAATGCAAAAAATTATTATTAAGGTTGTGGACAATATATTTTTGAGTGGGACAGGTCATAAACAAAATGTTTTAAGAGTTTAAAGAGTATATTCATACAAGACAATGCTCCTCCATTTTGCAAAGCTGAATACTGCCATCAAAGATTTTTTTTAAATTAATGGAATGCCCCTACCATCATGTCTCTCCTATAGAAAATGTGTAATCCATCATTAAAAGAAATGTGTATAAAAATGGAAAACAATTTTCAAGCAAAGATGGTATCTGGAAAGCAATAAAAATGATGCACATAATGCTAGAAAGTTTAACAATATCAAGGAATGAAAGATTGAAGGTTATTGATGTCAAGTATCCAATATAAAATAAAATCATAATCAATACAGATATATTGGATAATATGTTAATGAAATATTTTTTCTACAGTCTTTATCTTTTATATTTATTTATAAATAAAAATTTATATTGCCCTGAGTTTGTTTGCATAAGTAAACCTGATACCTCCA